CAGGTATAAAATGGTGAGTGATTGCATGTCTCAATTTCTATACTATAGAATGTGGTGAAGAACAGAAAGCACTACTCAGAGACTTGAGAGAGTGAGCCCAACTTTCAACCAATAGTTTAGCAAGTAGCAGTGTGCTGAGTGAAGTAGATTTTCTTTCTATAATCTCATGAAGTTGTCAGATTTTCTGTGAGCCACAATAGTGTCAGAACTCTTTTCCTGGAACTTCTGAAGCAGTGAGTCTGGAATGGGCCCATGGTTTTCTAAGCTGGCTATAAATTTTAACCAACTATCCCAAATTTTAGATTGTTTCTTGAGAGAATCATTGAATGTGTGCAAGTATTTTAATGCCTCAGTTGATTGCAATAGGCAGCCTGGGTCAGATACACTAGGTTCAAATATGTCAGCAAGATAGAGGTTGATAATAGCAGTCTTATTTGCAAGCACAGTGAATGTACTTCACTAAAGGATTCTAAGTCTTACATGGTATTATGATTGATTTTTGGATATATTGAAACCAACCTGTTGGATATCCCATCTTGACCAGTTTTGGGGACACATTTGGTATACAGTTCAGAGCAATTGTACTGGCTACAAACAAGGATCTGATTTCAAGCAGTGCTACTCACCACAATATTTTTCCAAATCAATAATCAGACTCAAAGGGTAGTTTTTCTTACATAATTAAACGTAATAACCTTTTATGAAGTTACTTTTGTAAAACATACCATGTTTTAACTGTATGTCCCTAATACCTGGTAGTTTGTAGCTCCAAAGATGTTATTTCTAGCCAGGTTTTGAAATATTTTTTTTTATCCTTCATCTCTGAAAACTAGAAAGTCAGCAGATACAACAGCTGGAACCAACAATGGAATTACAAGAGACACAGTTTTTAAACAGGTGGATCAAAGATATGAGGCACATCCTATATAGTATACAGGCAGTCCTGAGTTCCCTTCCACAGTACCTCAACTCTGAGTAGAGCCTTAGCTACAGGGGCCAAGTCTCGGAGTAACACAGGCCAGTGGGATGACTTTGGGACATAATCAGTATTTAATATTTGTAGTTAAGTAAAAAGTTAATTGGGGCTGAGCTTATGGTTCAGCAGTAGAGCGCTCGCCTCGCATGTGCAAGGCCCTGGGTTCGATCCTCTGCATAACATATAAATAAATAAATAGTTATTTTTAAAAGTTAATGATGTATTTTTATGGCATATTATATTTTTTAATATATTGTTTGTGATTAAGTCACACTTAAACCCCTTGAAGTTACATATCATTATTTCTATCAGATGAGAAAAAATGAATGGCCTCAAGCTGGCAAGGCAGGGGGTAGAGTACAGACTACTGAGTCTCATGGGCACTAGCTGTCCCCAGTTCTGGGACCTGCATTGGGAGCTCCGATTCCACAATAGCCAAGGATAATATGCCTGTGTTTGTTCATTTTTTTGCTTAATATCATCACAGTTAGATACAGGAATGAAATGTTTTTGACAATATGAAACATAGATAATTTTGATTAAAAACGAGCAAGACTAAATTTCAAATGGTCCTCACGTCACCAGGTAAAAACTACAGGGACCTCTGAAATGTCTTCTCTTTGCATTCCCTTAGCCTGTGCTTTACTCAGGTGTTATACCCTTTGCCCCTGTCCCTGCAGTCCTCTGCCTAGATCACCTCCTTCCTATAACACCATGGTGCTCTGCTTGAAGTAGGGTTTTTGGGTCTGATGGTTCATAAGTAGCATGTAATGTACTGGAATCCTGTGGGATCCTGTTAGATGGCCATGTTCCTGGGTTCAGTATCCTAGTATCAAAAGTGTTGGAATGGAGCCCAGTAGACTTCTTAACTAGGTTTTTAGGGAATCAGTGATCCAGTTGGAGAAGTACCTTTTAACAATTCACACTTTTCCCCAACTTCCCTCCCAGGTTGCACTCCATCAATGTCATATCTGAATGACTTTCTCATAGGTCACTTTTAAGACAGTTGTGCAGTATTTATAATACTTAAATATTTGTGATTGTTTTTTAAATACTTCACACATTTTTGCTAGTAAGAGGTTTTTTTCATATACAGATAGGTGTCTTTCCATATTTTTATTAATAAATACTTGGGCCTATTTTGGTTTTATTCTACAGTTTTTTTAATTAGGCGAACCTTTGGTTTGTAATTTATGACAATGAACAATTTGAATAAATTTTATTTAACATTAAATCTACAGAGTTCAATGATGTCGTTTTTATATAGCAGGAAAATTAACTGGGTAATTCTCATTGGATCAGTAAACTTACTAAAATTTTAGAGTGAGCATTTAGTTTACATTCACAAAAATCAGATTCAGAATTACATGCTAACAGTGATATGTCAACAGGTGATCTCTTGTTTTTATCAGACAGTAAGTCCCATAGATTTGGAAGAGGTTACTGAAAGTTTGGTGCTCACGTATGTGTTCCCAGACTGAATGAAACAAAATAAACATTTGTAAATATATCACTTTAATACTATCATCTTTTAATGACTAAATAAAGATGTACAGATTATATGATCTTCACTATTTAAATTTTTCCTCTTGCTTATTTCATGTTTCTTTTTTTATGACTGCATTGTTATTATACTTAATATTGGGTAATTGTAAAAGAAAGCCTTTACCATAGATGGGAAACCGTACAAATAGTTGATTTACCAAATAAGACATTGGACTTTTCTTGCATCAGTTAGAGTGTAAGGAAGTTTATGAAATTAAAAGATTGGATCGATGCATAAGGCAATTTGAAATGCTGATTCTCCCCAGTAGGAACAGGAGGCCCAAGTACAACCACACCCAGTGGGAAGGAGGGCAGCACACCCAGGGGACCCAGCACTGGAGCTACCAGCCCAGGGAACTCGGGTAAGTTAAGATGTGCACTCGGTGAATATTATTGGGTACAAATATGCAAGCATCTAGGCATGAAAATGTATATGAAGATTGAAGTTTGTTCTAATCTCCCAATCTCCTCCTTCCGAGGAACTAGCATAAGTTGCAAGCACTGCTACTGTGTTTATCAGGTACAACAGGAGAGTCCTTGAGATCAACCTCAGGAGCAGGCAGTGCAAGTACACCTGCACCTTCAGGCACTGGGGCCACCAGCACTGGAAGTCCAGCAGGTAAGACAGAGCCTCCTTAGGGACTGTGGTGGGGTCTAATGCAAGTTTTGTCCAGATCCCTGAGTGTGAAAAGGAGCACAAGGAAGGAAACGATGGAGAATATGGAAGGAACTGATGACTAGAATAAAACCATGGAATGGGCATGAGCTTTTCTTCCTTCCTCTCTGTACACTAAGCACTATTTTTTCTCCCCTTAGCAACAAGAGGAGCAACTGACACAGCCACCACTGTCTCTGCTGGTGACAACACATCTGGAAGGACAGGTACTGGTGGAGCTTAAGCAGCATGAAATCCAGGCAGTAGACATGTGAGCCCTGTGCTCAAATTTAGTCAGATTTTGTTTTCTGAGAATCTTAACTTTGTGGTTAATATGATACCGAGTATAAAGAGGATCAGAAAATAGATTATTAGATATTTATTGTGTACCTACCATTGGGTTATAAATTTGTGGAAATTAGGAAAATTTTGGGAAGTATACATTTTCCAAGGATATGTAACAGAGCAATGAACAAGGGAAAAGTTGCAAACAGCACCACAAGATAATTCTAATTACAAGAGACAAGGACTGGGATGTTAAATCACAAATTATTACAATTTATTCATAATGAATATTTTAATAAAGTGAACACATTATTAGGGTTATCTGATTTGCCTTATTTACCTGGAGTGAGAAATTAAGATCTCTGTATTTCACAACGTAGATCCATCCATTCTTTAAAAGAAATTAAAAAAAAAAAGTTTATTCCATTAAATATTTTGAAGCACACTTTTTTGATTTTCTTAAACTGAAATTTTCCTCCAATAAATATCAGGCACGAATGCAGCATCATCTGGAACTACCCCTGAAGCTAGAGGAGACAGCACCCCTGGGGAAGCAGGCACTGGAGCCACAGGTTCAGGTGAGGTCCACCAGTTTGGGTGTGATGGTCATTTGTGTCCTCCTGCAGCAGGTCTGTAAAATGAGGTCTTCACTGGGATTATATTGCCAGACTAAGGAAAGATCAAAGAATCATATCCTTTTTTTCTTTATTCTGGAGACACCCATTTACTCATATCAAGGTGCAGGAGTAACGTATACCTCCACAATGCACTGGTTCTTGTTTCCAGGGACCACATTGGTTATGTGCAGACTACACCACTGCCAGCTCTGGTTTTGATAATACTAAATGTAGATACTGAAATAGTTTTGAAAATAAGGGAATTACAGTAACGGAATTACAAATGGCACAGCTTCCAGTCAGGTGAAACAAAAAAAAAAAAAAGAGAAAAATCCTATATTCAGTCAGTCTTGTGTTTCACCTTGGTAATAACCCTCCAGAAGAGAGCCTTAGGAAAAAAGGTCAATTTATAGGTTACATAGATCTGTTGAATGACTTTGGGATACACTTCACAATTAATATTGTGGTATAGAAAACATTAGTGATGTATTTTATGATAATTAAAAATGTCTGATTTACTCTCAAATATTTTCATTTTAAGGCAATGAATCTTACTACTATTGTGTTAATGTGGCATTGTTCCCATGAGATAAGACAGTTTCCAAGCTGGCAAGGCAGGCATAGAGCACAGAGTGCTGAGCCTCATGGGCAGTAGCTAATTCCCAAGGGTCTGTGACCTGTGTCTAGAGCTCACAACCAACAAAAGCCAAGGAGAATATGCTTGACCTGTTCATCATTTACTCAGGTCAGTGTTAGATTCAGGATTAAAATATTATTGACACACTTAAGCACAAATAAATTAGACTGAAAAGAAGCAAGATAAAATTTACAACTGTCCTTCAAACCATCAGTTACAATCATAAGGATCTCTGAAGGGTCTTCTCCTTGTGGTCCATTGTCCTGTGTTTTATTCAAGTGTTAAGTCCTTCCCCCAGTCCCTGCAGTCCTTTGCTTAGCTTGTCTCCTTCCTCCAACACCATGGTGCTCACAGTATGGCTCCTGGCCAGTAGCATCTGAACCCTGTGGGAACTTGTTACAGTTGGTGACTTGGGGGTCCAGCAGCCTAGAATCAGAAAGTGTTGAAGGGGAAGCCAGCAGACTGTTAACTTGTTAACATAACAAGTGTTTTAGCAAATCAATGCTCAAGTTAGAGAACAATTTCTTTAAAACTTCCAGTCTTTTCCAGCTTCACTCCCTCTTTACACAGGAGTCAATGCCATGTCAGTAGGACATTTCCAAAGCTCAGCTATGATCCTGTCTATGCTCCTTTTAAAATACTTTTAACACTATGGATTGCTTTGAAGATACATGAAAATTTTGTTACCATCAAGAATACTTTTGCTCATGAATGCACTGGATTCTGTTTATGGATGAATTAATGAATCCATGGCCTGTTTTTGTTTTTCCTACACTTGATTTGGCTTAGCAATTGTTGTGATTAATTTTATAACATAGTGTTATATATGTGCTATTCTTTATATTAATATTACTGAGTTAGGAGATAAGATTTATATATTGCAGAAAAATTAAAAAAATATTAATTCCAATTACAGAATAACTTATTGAAATGAAACCCTTAAAATAATAACTAGTTTATCATTACAAAAATCTGAAGTAGAAATATTTGAGTAATAATGAGATCTCAAGGAGTAATCTCTTTTGAGACAGTAAGTGCAATGATTTGTGAAAAGACTACTAAAAACTTGGTGCATGAATATGAATCACCAGACTATTTGTTAAAGGCCAGTGATGTGGTAACAAGTAAAACATAAAATAAGCATTTGGAAATACAGAATTTTAACATCATAATTCATAAACTGCTAAATATAGTATTTTACATTATTATGATCTTATTTATTTGAACCTTACTTTTGTACTTATGTTGTGGCATTTTTAAAAGAATGCCTCTAGCAGAGATTGGAAACATTACAAATTGATTCTTTTACCACAAATCACTTGTGAAGCAGCAGTTACAGTATAAAATCAGGGCTAGATGGCTAGATTTTGGTGTCTTCGTTTTCTGTCTACAAATTGAGTGACTCAGAGCACATCATTTAACCATATTTGTTAATTGTAAAGAATAGTGTTACCTGTTAAAAGAGGATGTTTATGAGGTTAAAAGACTTGATTTTTTTAAAAGTCATTTTTAAAATGATTATTTTTTCACCAGGAACACGAAGCCCTAGTGCAACAACACCTGGGAGGAAAGAGGGTAGCCCATCTGGGGAACCCAGCACTGGAGCTACAAGCACAGGAAGTTCAGGTAAGTCAGGATGTGCACTGAGTGCTTGTTAAGTGGGCACAAAGATGAAAGCATTTAGGATGCTGGATAAATCATGAAAATGTGCAAAAGATTGAAATTTTGTCTTGATCTCTCAATCTCTTCCTTCAAAAAAACCTAGCATGTATTGTAAGCACTGCTACTGTGTTTATCAGGTACAACAGGAGAGTCCCTGGGTGTGACCTCAGGAGGGGTCAGCAGTACCACAAGTCAACCATCTGGCACTGGGGTCACAGGCGCTGGAAGCCCAGCAGGTAGGACAGAGCATCCATAGAGGATGGTGATAGGGTCCAATGCATTTTTTTTTCAAGAATCCCAAGTGTGAAAATGAGATCAAGGAAAGGAACAATGGAGAACAATAAAGGAACTGATGACTAGAATAAAACTATGGAATGAATGTCTTGGGAAGAGGGTTTTTTTTACCAGCTCTATGTGCACTAAGCACAATTTTTTCCCCATCAGCAACAAGAGGAGCAACTGATGCAGCTACCATTGTCTCTTCTGGTGAAAATACATCTGGAAGAACAGGTATTGAAAGAGCATAAGCAGCATGAAATTCAGGCAGTAATGTGGGAGCTTTTTGCTCAAAACCTAGTCAAAGAAAGGTTTTCCTAGGAGAATCTGATCATATGATTTATGTAATGCCAAATATCCAGAAGAGCATGAATGTATCAAAAAGTATATGTAATGTTTTTAATATATTTTTGGAACACAAAATATAGTGAAGTATATTTTACTATAGTGAAAGAATGGGGGCTTATAAATGATATCACCCAATGTCAATTAAGAAAGTGTAAAATTAACAACCATGTAGAAAGAGAAGTAAAGAATGACAACAATTAAGAGCAGAAACCTGAGCCACAGTCTTAGGTGAGGTCCACCAGGTTGGATGTGATGCATCAGGAGCTCCCATCCATGCCCTTCTGCAGCAGATGTAGGTCTATAAAATCAGGCACTGACTGGGATTACATTATTGAACTAAGAAAAGATGAAAAGATAATATCCTTTATTTTCTTTATTCTGAGAAACCCAAATACCCATATGAAGGGAAGGGATAATGTGTATTGTCCCCCACAATGCACTCATTTTTGTTTCCCGGGACAACAGGTGTGTCTGCAGCTGCATCCACCACTGCCAGCCCTGGGGACTCAGCTAGACCTTTCTCAACCTCTGCTAGCAGCACATCAGGTAAGTTTAAGGGAGAAGTCCATGGGTAAAATATCAAATGGAAAGTGTAAGCACATCCCAATTTCTATTTTCTGGAGTGTTGTAAAGAACAGGAAAATCTAGTAAGTGATTTGAGGAAGTGAGCCCAATTCCCTGACCAATACACGGTTTATCAGGTAGCTGTGTACCCACTGGATTTAGATGGTCTTTCTATAATCTAATACAATTTTGAGAATGCCTGCATGTGTTTATGGGCCTTAATAGTTGCAAGACCACTGTTTTGAACTTTCTGAGGCTGTGGTCTGGAGTGAGACCATAGTTTGCAATTCTGGCTAGAAATTAAAATCAACTACAAAAACCTTTGGGATTTTTCCTTCCCAGTCCCATGGAGGGTGTAACTATGGAAAAAAAAGGCCTGTGCACTCAGATATTTTAAAGCCACAATTCATTTCAATATGCAGCTTCATTTATAACTCTGAGGTTCAACATTGTGAATATTAAAGAAATAGATTATAAGCAGTGTTAGTTTTAAGAATCAATATGGAATCTGTCATGCAAGATTTGTTAAATTTTTCTAGTGATTGAATCAGAGATTGAGAAGGTTGTATGAAAGGTTGAGATAAATTTAAAGCAGAGTTCAGTATGATCTGTATCATTTAATCAAAGATCATATTATTTGTTGTTTATTTGACAGGCATTACTGGATCATCAGTTGTCACAACAACCAGAGCCCGAAGTAATGCAGTGACATCACCTGAAGGCAACTCAGGTGAGTGGAGGATGAGTTCAGAGGTACTGGCTTTGGTCAATATGAAAAGTCATTTGTAGGAATCCTGCTTATTTTAAAGTAAAGTAGTTGAGATGAATGTATGGAGACCCAGTTCAACCAATAGAAAGATGTCTTTAAAAAAAAAAACTTTAGGAAATTAACATTAAAACAAGTATCATGGGCAACTCTGTATACTAAGTGGCTGAATTCTTTTAATCAATTTTTACCAATGGGTGATCTAACTATCCAATCACTAATTAGAAGGAATTGGATAGTTAGATCACCCATTAGTAGCAAAGTTCAAGTAGACTTTAGGTGAGGTTCCTTTGACCTTTTTCTCAAGGTGCTACTGGAACGTCAGTTCTCCTCACCTCCACAGCTGGAAGTGCAGGTACCACAGTCCAACTGAACCCCAGCTTCACCAGTCCTGGGGACACATCAGGTAGGCCCAATTCAGAGCTAATTTCACTGGCCAGACCAAGGAACTATTTCAGCAATGTTGCTCAGGATTTTTCCAAATCAAATATCAGACTCAGGAGATAGTTCTTCATATGCAATTACCATTTAATATTTTTAGCCTTTTAGCAAGTTGCCTGTGTTTTATTCATTACTGGATCATCATGGTCTTTCTATAATCTTTATACAATTTATATAAAAGTGTGAAATCCTTTCCCCAGTCTCTGCAGTCCTCTCTCTAGCTTACCTTCCTCCTCTAATACCATGGTCTTCACAGTGTGATTTCAATGACCAATATCATTCAAATCCTGTGTGATCCTGTTAGAAGGGCACATTTTGGGTCCATCTGTCTATAATCAGAATGTGCTGGGGTGGAGCTCAGCAGATTGAGTTAACAGTGTTTTATGGAATCAATACTCATAATTGTGAAGAGAAGCACTTCTTCACAATTCCCACTCTTTTCCAACCTTCCCATTTTATACTTCATCAATGTCATGTCAGAATGACTTTCCCCAAACTCAAGTTTTCAAATGTTTTCTGCACTATACACTACTAAAGTATTTCTGATTGTTTTAAAGATAAATCAAAACTTTATATGCACAGGACTTTTGTTCTTCATGCTATTATTAACAAATTCATCGCCTCATTGTGTTTTTCCTACACTTATTTGCTTAGCTATTGTTTTAATTTAAAATGCATGACTGAAATAGTTGTTGAATAAGCATTTTAAATTAAAAATACTGAATTAAAGGATATAGTTTAGTCATAGCAGGAATATAAACTCCAATAAATTCTCATTGGATCAAAAAAACTTATTTTAATTTTAGAATGTTTACCATTTAGTTTACATTCACAAAAATCTGAATCAGAATTACATGCTAACAATGACATCTCAACAATCTATTTTGTTATCAGACGGTAAGTCTGGTGATTTGGAACAGCTTATTCAATGTCTGAAATTCCAAGACCAAGTGAAATAGAGATCAGTTATATAGAAATGTAGCATTTAAACATCATAGTCTTTTAATAGCTCAACAAGGCTTTTATATTTTATGATTTTTAAAAAAATTTTACACCTGGATTTATTTCATAGTACTTCTATGTATTTATTAATACATTGTAATTATATATAATATTGGGCATTTTTAAAAGAAAGCCTCTAGCATAGATGGAAAACAATACAGATGGGTGTCTTGCCACATCTGTTGAGAAGCATCAGTTAGAGTATAAGAAAATTTATGATTTAAAAGATTTGATTGATGCATAAGGCAATTTGAAATGCTATTTTTTTTATCAGTAGAAACAGGAGGCCCAAGAACAACAACACCCAGTAGGGAGGAGGTCAGCACACCCAGGGAACCCAGCACTGGAGCTACAAGCACAGGAAGTTCAGGTAAGCCAGGATGTGCTCTTAATGCCTATGAAATGGGTACAAATTTGAAAGCATCTAGACTGTTGGCTAAATCATGAAAATGTACAAAAAGATCAAAATTTTGCCCTGATCTCCCAATCTCCTTCTTTGGAGGAACTAAAAACATATGTTGCAAGCAATGCTACTGTGTTCATCAGGTACAACAGGAGAGGCCCTGGAAGTGACCTCGGGAGTAGTGAGGGCCAGCACATCTGGACCACCAGGCACTGGGGCCACCAGTGCTGGAAGCCCAGCAGGTAAGACAGAAACTACTTAGGGGTTTATGGTGGGTCTGTTGCGTGCTTTGTCAGGATCCCTGAGTGTGAGAATGAGATGAAGGAAAGTTTAAAAATAGAGAATGGTGAAGGAACTAATGAAGTGTACTTCAAAGTGTGTTTCCTTCTTAGACTTTCTGTATACTAAGCACCATTCTTTCCATTAGCAACAAGTAGAAGAACAGAAACATCTGCCACCGTCTCTGCTGGTGAGAACACATCTGCAGGCACAGGTAATGAAAGAGCATGAGCATCGTGAAAGCCAGGCAGTAGATTATAAGATCTATTTGATCAAAACCTAGTCAGAGACAGGGTTTCTTGGGGATCTGATCTTCATTATTTATATGATGCCAAGTATCCAGAAGATCAGAAATAGGCTATTAGATATTTGTTTTGTAATTACCATTGTATTAGAAAGTTTGTGGAAAATAGGATATGATTGGGAAGCATATGTGTTCAAAGAATAAGTAGCACAGCAATGAAGAGGGGAAAGTTGCAAATGTGATCTTATTATTGGACAATTCTAATAATGAGAGATAAGGACTTGAATGTTTAACCTTGAATTTTCTACATAAATGTTACATTTTATTAATAATGAGTATCTTAACCAAATTAGTGCATTATCAAAGTTAGCTGATCTACCTTATTTACCTGGAGAAAGACTTAAGATGTCTGTGAAATTAATAGGGTACACATATCCATTCTTTTAAAAGCAATAAGTATACTTCAGTCCCTATTCATAAAGACCCTTCTTTTTGTTTTCTTAAGCTGACTTTTTTTCCCCCTGATAAATATCAGGCACACCTGGAGCATCATCTGGAACAACCCCGGAAGCCCAAGGAGGTAGCACCCCTGAAGAATCAAGCACTAGAGCCACAGGTTCAGGTGAGGCCCACCAGTTTGGATGTAATGCCTCAGGAGCTCCTATCCATGCTCTCCTGCAGTACATACAGATCGCTAGTATCAGGTCCCAACTGGGATTATATAGCTGAAAGATGAAAACATCATATCATTCATTTTCTTTTTCCTGGGAAGACCCAAATATCCATGCAAAGGGCAGAAATAATGTGGACCCCTGCTCCCAATGCACTGGTTCTTGTTTTCAGGAACCACAGGGGTGTCTTCAGCTTCATCCACTACTGCCAGCCCTGGAGACTCAGCTACACCTTTCTCAACCTCTGCTAGCAGCAAATCAGGTAAGATATGAAAGCAAAGTCTGTAAGTAAAATGTAAAATGGAGAGTGTAAGTATGTCCCAATTTTTATTCTCTGGATTGGGTTAACAAACAGAAAGTACAAATGTTAGGGCATGAAACTGCTGGATAAATGATGGAAATGTTCAGAAAGATTGAAATTTTATCTAGGATATCCCAAATTTTCCCTTCAGAGGAACTAGCATATGTTGCAAGCATTGCTACTGTGTTTATCAGGTACAACAGGAGAATCCTTGGGAGTGACATCAGGAGCAGGCAGTGTGAGCACACCTGGACCATCAGGTACTGTGGCCACCAGAGCTGGAAGTCCAGCAGGTAAGAAAGGGCCTACTTAAGGTGTTATGGTGGGATCTAATGCAAGTTTTGTTTAGATTCCTTAATGTCAGATTGAGATGAAGGAAAGGTAACTATGGAGAACATTGAAGGAACTAATGACTAGAATAAAACTACAAAGTGTCCTTCAAAGAGTGTTTTCTTCCTAGACTCTTCATACATTAATAAGCACCATTCTCCTTCCCATTAGCAACGACCACTGCCTCTGCTGTTGAGAACACTTCTGGAAGAACAGGTACTGAAGGAGCATAACCAGTGTGAAATACAGACAGTAGACATGTGAGCTTTGTGCTCAAATTTAGTCAAGAGACAAGGTTTCTAGGGGAATCAATTATCATTTAGATGATGCCAAATCTCAGAAATATATTGATAAGCAGGTCTGTAGTGTTCAATATATTTTTAGAGTCACTGTGAAATTAATGAAATGTAGACTATAACTGATCCCACACAAGTCAATCTGTGAAGGGTGAAATTAACAACCGTGCAGATATAGAAGACAAGAAATAAGTAGGACAGCAATCAATGAGAAAAGATGCACACTGAATCATAAGAAAATGGTAGGAAATAGAGACAAGAACACCAATGTTTACCCATAATTTTTCTATATGATTATTGTATTGGTTAATGACAAATATGTTAATGGGACAGTACATTATTGGAGTTACCTGATTTATCTTGATAAAGAATTTGAGATTAGTGAAGATTATAGGATAGATGAATGCACTTAACAAGAAAGCATATTTCAAGATATATTTGTAAGACCCTCTTTTAATTTTTCACCCTTTTCCCTCTCATTAAATATCAGGCACCCCTGGAGCATCATCTGGAGCAACCCCAGAAGCTCAAGGTGGCAGTACCCCTAATCAAGCAGGCACTGGAGCCACAGGTTCAGGTGAGATCCACTAGATTGGATATGATATATCAGCAGATATGATCCATGCCCTCCTGTAGCAGATGCAGGTCTGTAAATCAGGCTTGAATTGGAATTATGTTTCTGGCCTAGAAAGGTTATGAGGATATTTTCTTCATTTTTTTTTAATTCTGGAGACTCAATCATTCAAGTTTACAAGAATAATATACTTCCCCCTCATGCACCTAGTCTTGTTTCCAGGGACCACGGGAGTGTCTGCAGGCTCCACCACTGCCAGTCATGAGGACTCGGCTAGACCTTTCTCAACCTCTGCTAGCAGCAAATCAGGTGAGTTAGAGGGAGAAGTCCATGAGTGTGCAGGTATAAAATGGAATGTGTTTATGTATCCCAGTTATTTTCTAAGGAATGTGATTGAGTAGAAAGAGGTAGGAAGGGAATGAAGAATGGGAGGGCAATTCTTGACCAACAGTTTATCAGGTTGCAGTGTACAGAGTGGATTAGATGATCTTTCTATACTGAAGTATAATTGTAAGAATCCCTGATTGTGCTTACGTTTCATAATAATTGTAGGAGCTCTGATCTGGAGCCTCTGAGGCTGTGATTTTTGAGTGGGGCCAAGGTTTACTCTACTGGCTACAAATTAGAATTGAATACAGAAATTTTTAACACTTTTCCTTCTCAGACTCATTGAATGTAGAATCACAGAGAAAGGGCCCAAGCATACATATATTGGAAAGCCTCTATTGGTGCTAATATACAGACTAGATCAGAATAACTGGGCTCAAATATGTGAGCATTGAAGAAGTAGATAATAAGGAATATCATTTGCAACTAAAGTGATTTACCTCACCTAACGATTCTAGTCATAAAAGGTTTACGATAACTTTTAAAAAGATTGAAACATAAATGGAGAAACATGTACAAATAAGTGAAAGATATTTTAAAAGTAGGAAACAGCAAGTTCTGTACCACTTCATCAAAGATAATGATATTATTTATTGTTTATTTTGAAAGGCACTACTGGACCATCAGTTGGTACAACAACCAGAGCCCGAAGCAATGAAGAGACTTCACCTGAAGTACACTCAGGTGAGCAGAGGATGGTGTTTAGAGGTCCTGGCTTTGGTCAAAATGAAGAGTCATTTGTGGGAATCCTGCTTATTTTAATGCAAAGTAGTTGAGATAAAAATATGAAAACCTATTTGACCTAATTCTAGATGTAGGAAGATATTTTTGTTTAAAAAATGCAATAAGAAAACCAAATGTTCAAGAAAATAATCATAGAACAAAATCATATGCAACTATGGGCAATAAGTTATAGGATTCATTTATTCAGTTTTTACATATTAGAAGTAAAAGAACTGTTGGATTACCCAATTATTATAAGGTTCAAGTAGACTTTAGGTGAGAAATTCCTTTGGTTTTTCTCAGGTACTACTGGAACTTCAGTTCCCATCACCTCCACAGTTGGAAGTACAAAAACCACACCCCAGCTGAGCACCAGCTTTACCAGTCCTGGGGATACATCAGGTAAGCTCAGTTCAGAGCAATTATACTGACCCCAGCTAAAAAACTGGTTTCAGACAATGCTGTTCAGATAATGTTTTACCAAATTGATTACCAGACTTAGGTGATCTTTTTATTTAAAATTTAATACCATTAGCTTTTTAACAAGTTGTTTTCTTAAATGATATCATGTTGCAGTTACATGTTCCCACTATCTGATAGCTAGAAGCCCCAGTAAAGCTTTTTTAGATAAGTATTTTAATTTTTTTGAACTTCATCAGGGATAACTAGAATGCCACCAGGTATAACTTTGGGAACCAACAAGAGACTTAGAAGTGACACAGCTTCCAAGCAGGTGAAACAAAGATGTGAGGCAGAGCCTATATTCCATGTAGGCACTTACATTTCACCTCAGCAATAACTCTTCTCTAAGTCCAGCCTTAGATACATTGGTCAATTCTATGATTTTGGAAATATTCAGTAGTTAGTATTTGCAGTTACGTGAAACATCAATGATCTAGTTTTGTGGCCCATTAAAATTGTTTGATTGACTCTCAAATATTTTCTTTGTAATTTAGTCAAATTTAACATTATTGATTTTATTTGTTGTTATTTCCATGAAAGGAAAAAAAATAATGAAAGTTCTCAAGCTTCCAAAGCCTAGTTCAAATGTGGATTGGGCATTAGCTGGCTCCCCAGTTCTGTGACCTATACGTAAGAGCTCACTCCCAACAATAAACAAGGAATATGCCTGTGCATCCTTGATTAAATTCAATCATTGTTGGGTCCAGGAATACAATATTATTAACAGTATTTAAGTAGATAATTCAGATTGAAAATTGAAACAACTAAATTTTACAAATGTCTTTCATGCCATTAGTTAAACTCATTTAGACTTCAATGTACCATTTCCTTGCGTTCCATTTTCCGGTGTTTTCAACTGTTAAACCCTTTTCACCAGTCCTTGCAGTCCTCTGCCTAGCTTTCCTTCTTCCTCTAATACTATGGTGTTCACAGAATGGTTTCTGGTCCAGCAGCATCAGAATCCTGTGGAAACATGTTAAAAGTACACATTTCTGGGTTCACCAACCTAGAATCAGAAAGTATCGGGGTGGAGCCCAGCAGACTTTGTTAACATGTATTTTGGGGATCTGGGGATCGATGCTCAGTTGCAGAAGCACTTCTCCACATTTTCCCCTCTTTTCCAACTTCTTTTCCAGTTTCTATGCCCATCAATGTCATCTCAGAATGACATTCCAAAATCTCAAGAATCAGCTTCTCTCTAATCTATTTAAAATGCTTCAATAGTTCTGATTGCTTTCAA